GACCCACAGAGGGCCCTGCCAACCCCTGCCGTGCTGGGGTTCTGTGGTTCACTGCGTGTTGCCCATGTCTATGAAAGACTTTGTTGGACTTCCAAGATTGCTCTGGACTGTCTCCATTTGGGATCTAAATTCTGCAGGCACGTGGGGAAGCATCTGCCCAGCTGCGCTACTGGCTAAAACCTCGTTGTAGCGGTGAGATTTGGAGGGTCGTTTGGTCCGGTCTGCTGGCTTTCTCCCTTGCGGTCCGTGAATAAACCCTCTCACGCCAGGGCAGCCCGCAGCTGTCATCTCCCCTTTTTGCCGCTGCACCAGCAAGTGGGATGCTGGTGTGACCGAGGGACTGGAAACCAAACTGACGTTTCCTCCAAGCTTGGCCTCGCTGGTGCCTGACCGAGCACGGGAGCGGCATCCAAGAGCCTCCAGGTCCCAGCGCGTCGAGCTGCTTGCGGAGCTGGTGGCAGGGTTCGGTGCAGCGTTGCCTAGCCAGGAAGACTGAGGACGGGGTTTGTAATCCCTGTGGGGACTTGCAAATCCCTGTGTGGGTGGTTCTGTGGGTGGTGTTCAAGAGCCATCCAGCTCCCCCAGCAAAAGGTTTGGGGGCTGAAACCTCTTCACACATGAAGCAAAGCGACATATGATCAAGAGAGGATGAGTACTGTCATGGTGGGGGGAAGTAAAGCCCTTCTTTAATGGAAATATTACATGGAGCAAAGATCAGAGCATCTTCTCCAGAGCCCACTATCCCAGGACAACATTAGCTTCACGTAGACGTGTCTTTAGTGGATTGTCCTCATTCCAGCAGCTGGGACCTAGAGAGACTGAGCTTCTTGATGAAGCTCCCACAGCCACAGGGCTCAAAATACATCAAGGACCTTCTGATTTCCAGGCATGGGTCCTGCTCGTGGTCCAAATTCAGGTTAATGACATTCCTCTCCCCTGGTTTGGGCTCCTTATGGCTGTGCAACAGCGTCAGCAGAGTTTGGCTGTCAGCAGCCACAGACCCTCTGTCTTCGTACCTATAATTTGATGAGGGCCATGGGAGAGGAGAAGGAAAGTCGTTCGCAGTTATCCTCCTTACAGACACTGGATGCTCTCCGAGCACGTGATGGCAGGAATCCCCGAGAGGCTCCTCTGCGCGTGCGGCTCGTTCTGCTAAGACACAGTAAAAATAGCAAACTAAGCAGGGATTTGAGCCTCGACGCACGGAGGCGAGAGTAAAGAAGAATTAAATACCTGGGACAACGTGAGGGCTCTGTGTGCCGCTGCCCTGCCAGCACCCCTCCAGCCGAACGCCCGCTCGTTTTCCTGGGAGCGGCGAACTCCTGCGTTACCTGGAAGCGGCATAAAGAGGCGGCTCATGGGGTGCGACGCGTCCCGAACGGTCTTAACAAAGGGAAAACGAAGCCTGGGAAGGACTTAACGCTGCGTCCGTGAAAATGCTGTCACAGCTCAAGCAAGGGGAGACCTCGGCTCTGGGAGCGAAGCGCAGTGAAACGGAAACCCAGCGCATCCTCCTCAGCGTGTTGGAAGCATGGAGAGGCCGTGGAGTCGATGCCACCGTGTCGTTAAACCACTCGATATTGTGCTAAGAAATGCTGGAAATTGGGGAATCTGATGTGCTGCTGGGGTCGCAGGAGGGATTTCCCAAAGGCCGAGTCCCTGGGTGTCTCATCCCGCTGCCCGACGCTGGCGGGGGCTCGGGGGGACGGGGCTGCTGCGGGCGTTTCTCCGCAGGGCTCGTGGCTGCAGCTCCTGCGTCCGCACCTCACCTCCGGCCCCGGCCCCAGGGAGCAGCCGGGCATTTCTCTGCCCGCGGTACGAGGAAAGTTATCTGTGATATGAAATGGTGGCGTTTGTGGCCTTTGGCAGAGGGGGACGGCCTTGCCGGCCGTCGCTGGCCCGGCGCGGAGATGGACGGCAGCCTGGCCGTGCTGTCCTGATGTCAGCGACCCAGGCAGCCATCGGGGCCGCAGAAACTCCTGATTAGTGCTGAAGCTGGGTGAAAGGGTTACAAAGCTGGGGACCAGTTTGCAGTGATGGGTTTGTCCCAGTGCCTGTGCCCAGGGCCTCGTTCAGGGTGCTCCGACCTCGGGAGGCTGCACGGTTCGTCTGTCTGTCTGTCTGCCTGCCTGCAGAGGGAATAGAAAAAAAACCAGCCCTACCTGGGGTTCTTCTAGCTCTTTCATGCTGTACTTTTGATCTCTGAGCTCAGAACGAGGGATGTCATCATGGTTATTCTAATTATAGTGATGGGAGTGATTGCCCGCGAGGTCGTCTGGCTCCGGTCGGAGGGTGGCTGAGCTGGCCACGGCCCCCAGGCCTGCCACAACCCGGCCCATGGAGCGCTACCCCCCCCATCGGCACGGACCAGGATGCGTCCCGACCCGAAAACCCCTCTCCCTGCCTGGCACCGAGGGCTGAGCGACAGCGACCGCGTCTCACCCCTCCTCCCTGACTCCTCTTTCCCCTGTTGCCTTCACAGGGAGAAGCGCGCGCTGCAAGTCAGCGTCACCAACCCGGTCCAGTGCAGCCTGCACGGGCGGAAATGCACCGTCTCCGTGGAAACCAAGATCAACCAATCCCAACCGGATTTCACCAGGCATCGTTCCGGTTTCGTCCTCTGCGTGCCGGGGAATTAGCATCCCCTCCGCCGGCGCGGCCAGCCCGGAGAGAGAGGAGATGGAGCGGGGCTTTGGCGGCCCTCCCCGGGCCCTGGGCTGTTCGAGGGGGTGAATTTAGAGATGCTCAGCCGTGACTCGGTCGTGTGCCTGCACAGAGCTCTGCAGCCAGAGGTTTCGCCAACCCAGATTCAGGAGAGGGTTTTAGTACCACGTCCCACGAAGGCTTCAAACCGCCAGTGACCTGTCTCCATCTTACAAAGCAGGCCGGGGTAGCAGGAGGGTGCTCCTGAACTGGCCCAAAAACAGCATTTATGGGTACTGACACCCTTTCCCCTGTTGATTTCTCAAACCCTCTCCACTGTTCCCTCCTGTGTTTCTTTTTTGTGTCATTTTGCGATATTACGCCGCCTCCGCCGGAGGAACCGAAGACACCCGGCTCAGGGAGTCTGGTCCCGTCAGCCCAAACCCCGACGGACCCGGAGCCGGGTTTGGGAAGGAGGG